CGGCTCTGTCCGAAACAGAGGCAAATATTTTGCTTCTGCCGGACGGTGGCCTATGCATTTTTGCTCCATTTGTAGACTGGATATAGTTTCGTCACCCAGCTTCTGAGTTGAATGCATGGCGTGACCCTGTGAGCTGCGGATTGCATTTGGAATGTTTTTTTCGACTGTGACCAACAAATTTATCGCGTGGGCAACTGCTGATCTGTTGGCGACTTCTGCTACCATCAATGATAAACTGCAATTCTAATACTGTGATAAACATTCTGTGTGTTTTTCGTCGGCACAGGAGCGGAGCAAAGATGGGGTGACCCGTTTGCTATGAAGCTGAAACTAAGACTACCAGACGATTACTGGATTTGACATCGTGGCATACGTACAGATGAGCAGGGTCGTAATTAGGCAATGTGCAACACAGCTGCTGCAGAGAGCCGTGCAAGTTTTGCAGAGCTAGTCAATCTGTCCGCCTGTTCATGTCTCAAAACCAGCATGACCCGGAGAAAAGATCCGGGCAATGCTCCTTACGCATGACCTCTGAAGCGAAGCATACCACTCTGCACAAGGCGTGCTTGTTCTCAGCATGATTTTTGAGATTACAATCATGACATGTGTGTGTATCGTGTTCTCTAGCCACTGATCACCTCCACTCTTAAGCTGAATGTTGTGGTATGTCGTCCATAAGCTTTTGCTGAGAACCCACAGGTACTAATTTTGCCTCCTGACACTGAACCATTTGTGTAAAAAATCATTTCACATTTTAAATTGTATAGTTAATAGAAAGATTATTCTCACTGCACATTTAATCATTTAGTCCACAAGTGCTCAGATCTCCTCCTCAGTAAATCCTGCAGCGTGCAGCGGCTGATGACACCAGTTCTGTGTTTTATTTTTTTCAATTCGTCTTTGGCTTCTGCATAGTGTTCTTATCTGGCCCCACCCCTTTTAACATGTTGTTCTTGCAGTTTAGTCATTGTTGAAGATTCAGCCATCAGTTGATTCTTACAAACATTTTACTTCTTGTAGAGCATTTAGTATATTAGCATGGGTTGTGGTATGTCTGCCCTCCAGTAGTTTAACTGCAAGTTCATTTCCTCGCACGCCTGTGCATTCTGGTACTAACATGAAACTTATATGTGCCAGCCCCGATCATCACAGACTCCAACCAGTTGCTTCGGACCCAGTTCATCTCTAATTTTAACAATAAAAACATGCCCCATAGGGGTGACATAGACCAATCAGTTATGTTGTCAACATCCGGAAACCGTAAATAGACCAAACCAATCAGTGATGTTGTCAACATCCGGAGACTGTAACTAGACCAAAATATTTGTAAAAGATTTGCCATAATACCATGCCTTTGACCAGACGATATACATCTTCATGGTCAGGTATGAAAGACTGACTGCCTGTCTCAGATACAAGTGTGAACACGGAAAGTGGATACATATCAATATTAGTAAGTTATGAGATCCACCATATAGTTCATTAATTAGTGTAGACGATGTTGTACAAGTGATGTAGTTTATATATAAAAATATTGCAATAACTCTAGGCTCTAATCATGCAGCCTCCTCCAAACACATTGACAGATACTTCAACACAGCAAGCTTAGAAACAAAAACATGTTAGAAACACTGAATAGCTGATAACGACTCTGTTTATTTCTCCAATGATGTTCCTCTCAGTCAGTGAACCAGAGCTTTGTTGTCAAGGAAACTAGCTATGTTCAAATACATTCTACCTATTATCGGCAATTGTATAGGATTCTCACGATCCATGCATCTTAGGCTTACACTTCAATGCTACTAAATCAACATCCATAAACCGCACAGCTAAGCAGACAATTTCATTTCCATTTCATGTTGTCATGGATTGATTAGCCAGGTTTTCTCAGGCCAGTGGCATGAATACATTCACTTGTTTTCAGGATACGTTCAGCTCTGGGATTCCAAATGCCAAAAAAACCAGATCGAAAACAAGGCTGAATATTCTCTTTCTCTAAATGCTTGAATAACCTCTTCTTATGTGCTCAAAAACTCTACTTAGGATTTCATACTTTCTTCATTTGGCACACTTTGGCCAAACTGCACATTGGCCTCAAGTTGATATCATGTACTCAGTTTTATTCAAGCATACATTATAATTAAGAATTTATGCCATAAATTTGGATTCTCACACATAATTGATGATTTGCATGCTATATGAATATGTAGTTTGGGTAGTACTTAATTCCTGCTTTTCAAATGAAGTAAACTGAAGTCAGAGAGATCCAGGGATGTAGGTGCCAGGCCTCTTGGGCAGTGAGGCAAATTGTCTGTGTCATCTTGAGAGTCTCCAAGGTGGTAACTCCTTTGCTCTGGAATTCTCTGTTTTATTTAAGAGCACTTTATAGTCAAGACTGCTGTGCATGACCGAAAAGGCGCTGAACACAACTTAGCCTTCAGTGAAGAGTTGTAATGCAGTGGATACCATCACATTGTGGAGTGCCTGGAAATTGGAAAGCTGATCAACTGGCAGGAGAAAGTGCGACAAAAGTGCAGCTGGATGTACCAGTCACATACCACCAAAAGAAAAGAATAATTAAATCAATCAGGAAACCACCAGCCCCAGCACAAGACTACTATTTTATTATGGACAAATCAGAACAAGTCATTATCCTCCGCCTCAGAACATGGCACAACCGATTACGTAACCACATGTACACACAATTCAAGATAGGTGTATCAGCCATGTGCACCTGTGGAAATGTGCTCCAGACAGCAGAGCATGTACTCCAGGACTGCACTGAATTTGACACATTAAGGCAAACCTTTTGGCCAGAAAGAACAACAGTGGAACGTAAACTCTATGGACCACTGAATGAATTAACAACAACAGTGAAATTTATACAAGAGACAAAATTACTGATATAGACAACTTATTTCAGGCAAACGAAAGAAGAAGAAGATACTAGACAGTTCGTAAACTTTGCTAAAAACAACTACCATTCATTCATATGTCCGTCCTACTTTACTTAGAGCTACGAAACCAAGACTGCCACAGTGTTTCCCCGCCAGCAGTAGTCAGTCACATTGCCCACACAATATATATGGTGTCCAGTTACTGGCGATATTCTCAAGCAACATTTGTTATACAAACTTTAAGTGCCCTGAGTACTTTGGACTATTCTCTGTCAACATACTCATAAATATTCATGTGCACTCACAAGACCCTTATCTCTTGTATGTCTCTATCAAAATTTAACCCTGACCTCCTGTATGTCTCTATCAATGTGCTTTCAAAATATAACCCTTATCTCATGTATGTCTCTATCCGTGTGCTTTCAAGATATAACTCCAAATTATAAGTGCACTATGGATGTCAAGTTTTTATTAAGAGGCTTTCCTCCTGTTTATGCATTTACATAGTTATTCAACCCACTGGCTGCATGAAACAACACATCACTTAATACATCTATAGAGCTTCTATAATGTATGTATTCTTATGCACATCTTCAAATGGTTACTTTATGTTAAAGATAATCCAAAAATTCTATACTTATAGGGTTTCTTTGCTGTATGTATTCTCATGTGATCACTCACAGTAAAAACTAAATTTAATAATACATCACAGTCATCACATTTTTATATTGTTTTTCTTCTGTATGTTTTCTCTTCCATGTCCTAAGAATGAGGGCTTGAGAAAAAAATGCACCAGTCATAACATTTGTGGTGCTTCTTGCCTGTATGTGTATACATATGGTTCTCAAACACACTGGTTCACAGAAGTGATGCTCCATAGTCAACACATTTATAACTTTTCTCTCCTGTATTCTCTTCAAATTTTAACATTCAAGAAAAGATGTATCACACTTGTAAGGTGTATCTCTTGTTTGCCTCCAACTTATAGTTTTTCTAAAAACAGAAATGATAAACATCACAATTGTAATTTTTTTTTTAAGGGAAGGGGTGAAGTCTCCAGAATGCATTATGTCATGGATCATTCAAACTACTGAATCAAATAAAACATGCACCACAAATATCACATTCGTATGGTTTTCTCCTGTATTTACTATCTTGTGTGCATTTATTCTGTTAGCATGAGCAAAAGATTTACCAAAATGATCACACATGCAAGATTTCTCTCCTGTGTATTTTATATTGTGTGCAATCATTTGTGTAAATATATTTAAAGAAGCCCCACATCAATCACACTCGTACGATTATGTGTACTGGTATAGTATTTTAAACTTGTAGCTGATTTAAAATATTCACAACAGTCATTGTTGTGTGCAATCCGAAGATTCACACTATTGACGACCGCTAACAAACATGAGATATGACGAGAGACACGTCACTTGCCGACAGAAGAATTGGTCAGAAGACAGTTACAAGAAAAGGTAGGAAGGACAGAGGCTTGTACTGATATGTCCTGATGCTGCAGTTCGGGGGAGAGCAAAGTCTCTGAGCTCCATGTTGGAGGAAAAGAATTATCCTACCCTTGATGAGTACAGTGATTGTAACATATTCATTTCATGGGCACACATTATATCTGTGGAGAATTGTTGAATAAACGTATTGATATTGCCTGTCAACGACGTGTTATCAAATGTAGCAGTTTCAACAGCTGACCTTGTTGGTTGGGTTTTCGGTTACAATCATTACATGTGTCCCCCGTGTGGGTTCCGGGGCCCTATTGTGGGGAAAACAAGAATAGACCCACTGCCTCCCCAAAAGCATGTCGTAAGAGTCAACTACCTGGGGTGCTTCCTTTGAAGTCGGAGTGCATCTGCCTGAGAGGCAAGGAACCAGCAGTCTACATTCAATTGAATCAGATCTGTAAAACTGATGCACACGCAAAACTCAGGTTCTGGAGCAGGACTGCAGTCTAGAAGTGGACAAACAACCAGAACTTTACGCCAGAGTGTACAGCTGGTGAACGCGAAGAAGAAGAAGTACGGCATGGACCTTGTACGACATTTCAACAGAATAATCTATACACAGAATATCGCCGCACAGTAATCATTATCTGTAGGTTATGTCTTCTGTATGTTTTCTCTTATGTCTTTTTAGATTGCCAGATTGAGCAAAAGATGCACTGCAAAATTCACACTTGTAAGGTTTCTCTCCTGTATGTATTCTCTCATGTATCTTCAGACTGCTAGAAACAGTAAAAGATGCACCACACATTTCACACTTGTAAGGTCTCTCTCCTGTATGTGTAGTCAGATGGCACTGCAACACATAAGTTGATTTAAAAGATGAACCACAGTCATCACACTTGTAAGGTCTCTCTCCTGTATGTGTACTGATATGATATTTTAAAACTGTAGCTGATTTAAAACATGCACCACAGTCATCACATTTGAAAGTTTGGTCTTCTGTGTGTGTTCTTTTATGGTTCTTAAGATTGAAAGATTGAGCAAAGGATGCACCACATATTTCACATTTGTAAGGTCTCTCTCCTGTATGTATTCTCTTATGTGTCTTTAGACCGCAAGTTTGAGTAAAAGATGCACCACATTTTTCACACTTGTAAGGTCTTTCTCTTGTATGTATTCTCTTATGAGTCCTTAAACTGCTAGCTAGAGCAAAAAAGACACCACATATTTCACATTTGTAAGGTTTCTCTCCTGTATGTATTCTCTTATGTTTCTTCAGGCTGTCAGCTTGAATAAAAGATGCACCACATATTTCACACTTGTAAGGCCTTTCTCTTGTATGTATTCTCTTATGATTCATTAGACTGCTAGCTAGAGCAAAAAAGACACCACATATTTCACACTTGTAAGGTCTCTCTCCTGTATGTATTCTCTTATGTGTCTTTAGACTGCAAGTTTGAGTAAAAGATGCACCACATTTTTCACACTTGTAAGGCCTTTCTCTTGTATGTATTCTCTTATGTTTCTTCAGGCTGTCAGCTCGAATAAAAGATGCACCACATATTACACACTTGTAAGGTTTCTCGCCTGTATGTATTCTCTTATGTTTCTTAAAACTTACAGCTTGAGTAAAAGATGCACTACAGATTACACACTTGTAAGGTCTCTCTCCTGTATGCATTCTTTTATGGATTATCAGATTGCTAGCTGCAGTAAAAGATGCCCCACACACTTCACACTTGTGAGGTCTCTCTCCTGTGTGTATTCTCTTATGGATATTCAGACTGCTAACTTGAGTAAAAGATGTACCACATATTACACATTTGTAAGGTTTCTCTCCTGTATGTATTCTCTTATGTGTCTGTAGATGGCCTGCATGAGTAAAAGATGCACCACATATTTCACACTTGTAAGGTCTCTCGCCTGTATGTATTCTCTTATGGATATTCAGACTGCCAACTTGAGTAAAAGATGTACCACATATTACACATTTGTAAGGTTTCTCTCCTGTATGTATTCTCTTATGTGTCTGTAGATGGCCTGCATGAGTAAAAGATGCACCACATATTTCACACTTGTAAGGTTTCTCTCCTGTATGTATTCTCACATGAATCTTCAGACTGCTAGATGCAATAAAAGATGCATAACATTTTTCACATTTGTAAGGTTTCTCTCCTGTATGCGTACTCATATGGTACTTCAAAGCTGCAGTTGATTGAAAAGAAGCACCACATATTTCACACTTGTAATTTCTCTCTCTTGTATGTATTCTCTTATGTGTCTTTAGATGGCTGGCATGAGTTAAAGATGCACCACTTGTATCACAATTGTCAGGCTTTTCTCCTACATGTGTAGTCAGATGACACTTCAACACATTAGTTGACCTAAAAGATGAACCACAGTCATCACATTTGTAAGGTTTCTCTCCTGCATGTGTACTGATATGGGACTTTAACTCTGTAGTCGACTTAAAAGATGAACTACAATTCCTACACTTGTAAAATTTCACTGTTGTATGTATTTTCTTATGTCTCTTCAGACTGCCGCCTCGAGTAAAAGATATACCACATGTATCACACTTGTAATGTTTCTCTCCTGTATGTGTTCTCGTATGTTTTTTTAGTCCATCAGCTCGAGTAAAAGATGCACTACATATATCACACTTGTAAGGTTTCTCTCCTGTATGTGTTCTCGTATGTTTCTTTAGTCCACTGGCTTGAGTAAAAGATTTACCACAAATATCACATCTGTGAGGTTGTTGCCTCTCCATGTTTGATATATGTTTACTTATTCGTCATTCAGTGTCTGTTGCTGAGGCATTGCAAACATGCTTCATAATGCCCCTTTGATCCCAGCTGCTGGCTATGTGGCAGCAGACCGGTTTTGTCAGTTGTATTAAATGCAGAACATTCAGGAAGCAATGGCAAACTAAAAAATGTAAATCTGTCTAGAAAAATCACATCAGCCAAAAAATGCTGGTTCTGCAAGGTCCTGTAAACGATATGCTGCTAGCATTTTTGTTTACAAAGACAGTAATAACACCCACTTTAAAATTAAGAAAACTTTTCAGAATTCTGTGAATATTTGACCAGTGATTCTACTGTGATTGCAAATTCTTAATCAAAGATATTTTGGTGATGACTTTAACATCAGAAGACACATTCTCTGTGCATTATTACATCTTTGTAAATACTTTTTAGTCACAATGAGTCTTTTGTCACTATAAAGTTAAATTTTATCCTGCTGCATTATTATCAGCAGCATTAGTAGCTCAGGGGTTGTAAACAGTTTTACAACTCTAACATACTAGGTTAGATTCTGCTGTATGCAATCTGGAAGTAGACCTGTATTGATACAGACAGTGGATTGCACTGCAAGTTGACTTTTGAGGAGGCATATGGCAAACTCATCATCATCACGTGCCCTGATGATTAGTGCAGGCGTACATACATCTCAACAGATCACGGCCGCTTTGCCTCTGGATCAGTTTCAACAATGATATCCCTCAGTGCCACTGTCGCAATCCATCTATCGGTCAGCTTCTCTGTCTTCTACCGTTGATGGTTCCAGTCATAACAATATTCTCCAAAGCCTTTTCTTTTATCACTTGACCAAAAAACAGTGCTTGTATTTTGCTTATAGCTGTATTTATTGATATCCTTTCATTAGCGTCTTTCAAGCAATCCTTGTTAGTTACTCTGGCAGTCCAAGGGATTTTTAACATTCATTTATGGCAAACTACAGAATGTAAAACAGTCTAGTAAAATCACAAACAGTCAACAAATGCTGAGGTTAGTTTGGGTCATCCTTTGCTAGACATGCAGCCAACTTGTATATTTATGATCATTGCTACAACCAACAATGTCTCTTATTGTAGTGAATCTATATCCTGTTTTCAGATAACACCTCTGATAGTTCTTGTTACTTTGGTATAACGTTTTCTGTCATGAAACAATATTTTCCCCACTTGCGAACAAACTGTCCAAGTTCTGGGGTAGATTTCTGAAACAGATCATGAGTAAATAAAGATTAATCACTGCACAGACACATCAATAAGCTCTTTCTAGCGGTACCTCTTTTATGCCTGTCTGTCAGTTCTAAGCCGAGCTATCAACGTTTTGAATGGAAATAATGAATAAAGTATTTTTTTTTTTTTTTAAACAGAGATCCTAGAAACTATATATTGTTGTGCTCAGGGCAACAATGTCTGTCTGCACATAAGATAAGGATAAGTCTTACAAACTTATCAATGATAATATAAGGCTATCCTCTGAATAACAGCCACATATTATGGTGGCCAAAAACATCCTCACAGGGCCTCATTAGGTCGTGTGTTGTAAACATTCAAAAACTTGAACTTGAAAATAATAGGTAACGAACAATAGAGAAAATAAAAAAATTGGCTACTTAGTGATAAATGAGGCCATTTTTTTGAAAATAGTGGCACAGAAGTTGCAAAAAGTGCCCCAGAAACCTGCTATTTGTGGCTGTGGTGCCATTGAAACTCAACAAAATATGATCGGTGCCACATTGGTAACGCAGTTTTCACTGCCAAGAGTATCTCCCGCGCCGCTACGCACGGCACGGATAGGTGTCTAAACTAGATGGCTGGGACTCACAAGCAAATAAATTGGATTAAGTTGCAGGAGATGCGGTAGCGTCTGCTCGTGAGTCCCAGTGATTTAGTTTAGCTATCCCCACCCACCCATCCGCGCTGCTACGAGCGGCATGGGGGATACGCTCGGCGGTGAGTTTAATCGGAAGAACACTATCGCTAACCTGCGTCTGAGTGTGTGGTCTCCCTGCCATTAAGACTATCTTCTGAATAATGGTCCCAAATTATCGAGGCAGAAAATATATATGTCAATTGTGCACTTCCCGCGACTTAAATTGCGCACTTTCGGCAACTTCGGCCACAGCCGATAGTATCCTCCATGACGCTCACGCGGTATGGATTGGGGCTAAACTAGATGGCTGGGACTCATGAGCAGCAGCTACCGCATTTACTGCAGCTGCCTTTATTTTATTTGTTCGTGAGTCCTAGCCATCTAGTTTAGCCCCAATCCACGCTGGTGAGTGGCCTGGGGGATACTCTCGGCGGAAGTACTCGGAAGTTCGCAATTTGGTGGCGGCGGTATATTCCTCAGAAGTACACAATTGACACGTGACTGAGGCCCTGTTAGGGTATATTTTCTGCCTTGATAATTTGGGACCGTTTTTCATAAGATAGCTGCTATTAATGATCGTGTTGGGACTTGGACTTCCGGTATAGCGGCGCTAGCAACCAAGATTATTTCAAGGCAAACACTTTGCATAGGGAATCAGTTTTCATCGCTTAAATTAAACCTCTTACCAGTTCAAACACAAGAAGGCAATGTTTTCCACCGCTGCAAACTGTAGGATATCAGGTTTCTTTATTTGTTGCTTTGTTGATTACACACTGAATGCCAAACCACCACTGCCTTGTGGTAAGTTCCCGTAAGAACAAAGGCTAGGGCAACAAAGCCTGACAGAAAATGTGGGTAGGCAGAGCTCATAAGCTCTGGAAGGCAATCAGCCTATGGGAGGGGGAATCCTGAAAAAAAAACTGCTACTAGAGCAACAACCTCAGAATCTTCTGGAGCTACCATGGAAGAACAGAGTAATGCAACTGGACACAAACTGACAGTTATGCACTGGAATGCTGAGGGAGTGAGGCTGAAGAAAACTGAACTACAACATTTCTTGAAGCAGCACGATATTGACATATGCTGCATCCAAGAGACTCACCTCACAAGTGCACATAGATTCTCTATCAGGGGATACCAAATCTTCAGACACGACAGGTTAAATTGTCCAAAAGGAGGAGTCTTGACTGCTGTCAAGAACACGATCACCGCTTAGGAAACCCAGAGATCTCAGAGTGGGGATACAGAGTTTATCACAGTCACTATCAAGGGTGCAAGGGGAGATGTAACAGTATGCAACATCTACTCACCACCAAACATATTAATCTGGGACCCATCCAACTAAACACAGAAAACTGGATTGCTGTCGGAGATCTGAATAGCCACTCACCTAGCTGGAGCTACACAGACCTCAATGCAAAAGGAGAAGAGGTAGAAAACTGGATAATCAGCAACACTCTAGTTCTGATAAATCATCGTGATGACCCAGACACATTCTACTCTCGAGCTTGGAGGAAAACTAGCACCCCAGACTTGGCTATAGCAACTGAAGATGTGGAGAAAGTTACCAGCCGGGATGTATGTCAGCAGCTGGGAGGCAGTGATCACAGGCCCGTAATCCTGTCTACTAACAAAAGTAGAGAGGTTAATAAGGAAAAGAATCCTCCCAGCTGGAACTACAAGAAGGCTAACTGGAGTCTTTTCACTTCCCAGTTGGACGACATGTTAAAGAGTCTTCTTCAGAAGACTGGAAATAAATCCCAAACTGAAGATCCTCAACACAACTATTCTAAATGCAGCCAAGGGTAACATACCCCGAGGCAGCAGGAAAAACTTTAAACCTTACTGGTCGCCTGAACTGGACACTCTGCATTCCAAACTTAGGACCAGGAGGGAAAATATGGAGAAGGATCCGACAGATAAAAATATAATACTTCATAACAGAGCAAAAGCAGCCTTTATCAAAGAGAGAAATAATCAGATGAGGGAAAGCTGGCACAAAAAGACGGTGTCATTTAACCTCGAGAAGGACACTTCACGTCTGTGGAATCTCACAAAAAGCCTGAATGGAGACAAGACAGAAAAAGCCAGAGTTGTACTCCTAACAGACAATGGAGCTGTTACTGGCAAGGCAGCAGCAGATTTGCTAGCTGAAACACACCAGAAGGAAGCTGAGGTTCATATTCCCATGAAAAGAATAAAAGAAGTACGAAACCAAACCAAGACTCTTCTAGCAAACTCTAGCACAAAAACAAAAAAGGCCTGCATGTCAGAAAAGTTTACTATGCAAGAGCTGGAAGTTGGAATTGGAGAGTTGAAAATGAAGAAATGACGGCATTAATGCTCTTGCTGCCAAGGGCATTTACAACCAAATTGAAAAAAAGGTTCTTCAGCCTGGAAGGAAGTAGTTCTCATCCAGTCTTCTTTGACCTCTCTCTCTTGCTTTCGATACAATAGTTTGGAAAAACTCTGAAGGCCAGAAACACATATCTGGCAAAACCTTCTACAGGCAGTTTGGAAAGAGTTACAACTAAAACTTCTACAGTGGAGTTGCACATACACGTACAAGTGGATCAAAGACTTTCTTTTCCAACGCAGAGCCAGATTCAGAACTGATGGACACATCTGCAAACTGGCAAAACTATGAGAAGGAGTTTCCCAGGGCAGTGCGATAGCACCAACTCTGTTCCTGGTTTACATAAATGATATCACAGCAACCTGCCACCAACACGTTTATAATACCCTACATGATGATGACTTTGCAGTTTGGACAGCATCCGAATACCACAGCCTCATATCTGTTACAGAAAACTGTGGAAAATGTAGAAGCCTGGACCGAAAAGTGGGGTCTAAAGCTAAATAATTCAAAAAGCACAGCATCACTTTTCTCTTTCTCCCCCAAAAAAGAAAAAAAATCTAAATTTGGATAAAAAACCAGCTCATTCCACAGACTGACACTCCTACATTTCTTGGCATTACACTTGATTCGCGACTAACTTGGAAGTCACACCTAGAAGCAGTACATGGGAAAGCATTCAAGAAGCTTGCAGTAATGAAAAAATTAGCAGGTACCACATGGGGCGCTAACTCCAGAATCCTAAAA